TATACATATATATATATATATATATATATATATATATATATATATATTTATTTATTTGCACCCCTCCCTCTCACAGGTGCCTCATTCCAGGACCCTATTTAGCCTTGACTTGCAGAGAGTCCCAGGAGGAAGTATTTCCCAAGTTAGTGGATTGATCTCATAAGGGCAGGCATTAGACTGCTAGAGTAGGACCTGCCAAGAATGGGGTACATTGATGTTGTGGCAGGCTTATGCAATATATGATCATATAATGTAACTAAACCCCCCCATTATGTTTTGCCTAGGTAAGGTGTTTTTAAATAAAGCTATTACAATCTGTAAGATTTGAAATCATAATTTAGTGAATAAGCGAGTGCGCTGGATTGTGTATTTTGTATGTTGTATATATATTTACATGCGCACACATATACACATGCATGCACACACTTTGCAAATAGTGGGAAATCAGTTCACAGAATGACTTTGATCAGAATGCAGACCCCTTTTTAATAATTTCAGATTGTTTTCCTCTTTGAGACAGAGCAACATACAGCATGCACATGAGTCAGAGTGATGTCAGACGATCAATCCCTTTGGGCAGAAAACCATAGATGATTCATGAGTATTTAGTGACCCAAAAATCCTTAAAAGTCTGGCCATGTAAGATGGAGAAGCATCTATTTTGGGAAATAATGCCTCTGAGATTTTCTAGAGAAACTTGTTCATGTGGTTTATAATGAGGAATCCATGAATCCTAATATGTTACATAGTTAAATGTTGTATGTGTAAATTTAGCTCTTTAAAGGTTTTTTCTTAATTTTATTGTATTTTTTTTTTTGTCCCCTTATTTCAGTCTATGAAGGGGTATAGTAAATTGATTATTTGGGTTTTCATTAATCACCAAGCTGTGGTGAGCTGATAAGAGAACTATTGCGATGTGTGCATTATCTAGTCTGATCTCTTGTTGATATAACTGAAATGTACTTATAACGCAGGGGCCTTGCTAGGATCCAAGTGTTTGTAAATCCCCCTTTCAGCTTACCTTTCTGCAGGGAGGGGTATAAAACCTGGTGGTCCAGTAGGGGTATGGTCACTGCTGACCGTATCCCTGATGGCATGGTCCAGTGAGAACAGCATGTGGTTTGCACCACATAAACACTTTTCCGAGATGAATAAGTCAAAGCATTACCATGGTAACCCTTAGCAGCACTCTGGCTCATTCACTCGGCGGGCAGAACCTCAGAGCCCATTTCCAAAAACAACTGCTGTGACCCAGTAGCTCTGCTGCTGCTTAGATGTACTTTTTTCTTGTTAATGGAAGATTTAATTTCAGGACCCCCTCAGGACTACAGCCCAGTGAACTCCTCCATAGCAAGGCAACTAGCATGGCCATGAAGCAGGCACATAATTGCAGGTGTTCTTTCTGCAATGCCTTTTTCTCATTAAAAGTTTTGTTTTTGTTTTTTAAGTCTGAGCAGATAGAATTAAATAACCTTTTTATTGGGAGATGTTTTTTGCCACATGCAAACACTTCATGACCCAAAAAACAGACTACTTGCAAGTTTGCTATACTGTCTCTTAATTCATATACTGTACATAATCCGTTTTTCTAATGAAAGAGTTAATAACTTTCAGATGGAAATGTCTTTCCTGCAAAACTTTTCCTTAAGGCATTGCAGATACAGACACTCTTTATGTGTAGCCAAGAGACAGAAAAACGGGGACAGCATCACAGCAGGCTCAAAAACATCAAATCCCTAGCATACCAAATTGAAGAACGAAATAGTAGAAAATTCATGTATACTGTTTATGTAAGCAGCACGACATGGAGGTTGGGGAGCGAAATGCCATCTGGAGGCAAACAGACATACATATCTGCAGTGTCAGGAACACAAGGAGATCATAGAAGCTATAAAGCATAACTTTATTGTGTGCATAGCAATAGTTATATACGACGTGAGAATTAGCATGCTAGGTATCTTGTGCAAGATAGAATTGTATGTGACTATAAGGGATGCTAAACTGTCTGAAGCTTTCATTTGACAATACACTAGAATTTGGTATGTCTTCCTGCAAAGATGTTTAAACTTCCTTTATAGCACAGTCTGTTTAATTTAGAATATATTCCCCCTTGCTTTGATAATAGCCTGCTAGACCCTGCAGGAGCCTCCTGTGTGTGTGATTACAGTTCAATTTACCATTTGCTGACTTTTGACATCGTCATACCTAAGACCCAATTGACACCACTGTCTGAACATCAACCTCACAGAAACCAATGTCTTGACCTAGAGCATTTCTCCACTTATCTTAGTTCTGCAACCTCTTTCTACAATTCCACACTCTCCTCTCAACTAGACATTATGGCACCTCGTACATTTAAACACAGCAAGTGCCCCCCAACAACAACCTTGGCACACCAAGATGACTCCATACCTCCAAAAATGCTCCAAAACTGATGAATGCTGTTGGAGAAAGTCTCAATGTGCGTCTGACTTTCTCCACTATAAATTTATGCTGCGCTCATACAGCTTGGCTCTTTCCTCTACAAAAGTAAATTACTTCAATGCCCTCATAACCACACTCTCCTGCAAACCCAAATGACTATTTCACACATTTAACTCTCTTCTTTGCCCTATTGTTCCTCCTCCACCTACTAACCTGACTGCCTCAGACTTTGCAACTCACTTCACTGACAAGATCTCTACAATCAGGCAAGAGATCTCTCATCTTTCTTCTTCCCCTTACAATACTTCCCCTAACCTAACTCCCTCTGCTGTTCTATGTTCATTCGCACCAGCTACAACGGTAGAGGTTTCTGCTCTGCTCCAGTCCTCACCGCCCCACCACCTGCTCCCTAGTCGCTCCGCCCCACCACCTGCTCCCTAGATCCAATTCCCTTGCAAATCATCCATACTGTCTTCTTCTCTTTCTCTACTTCTCACTAAAATTCTTAATCTCTCTCCTCTGGCATATTTCCATCGCCCTTCAAACATGCAACTGTAACTCCAATTCTAAAGAAGCCCAACCTTGACCCTAACTCCCCATCCAACTACCGTCCTATCTTGCTACTGCCTTTTGCATCCAAGATCCTTGAAAGAGTTGTGTATGCGAGATTGACAGACCTCCCCTGTTCCTCTTGACTAGTGTCTCTGACTGCCTCTCTGCTATTTCTAACTGGATGGCTGCCCACTTCCTTAAACTCAACTTGACCAAAACTGAAATTCTGGTCTTTCCTCCCTCAAGTATTGCTACTCCTGTGTCTGTCTCCCTCCAAGTCGACGGTGCTGCCATCAGCTCCACCACACAGGCTTGCTGCCTAGGTGTTCTCTTTGATTCCGAAATCTCCTTCACACCCCATGTTCAGTCTATCACCAAATCCTGCTGCTTCCATCTCAAAAACATTGCGAGCATCCGACCCTACTTAAGGCCAGATGCGACTAAGATGCTGGTCCATTCCACTGTCCTTTCTCACCTTGACTACTGTAATCTGCTTCTCAGTGGTCTAACATGCTCTCAACTTGAGCCGTTACAGTCCATAATGATTGAGGCGGTGAGGCTCATCTTCCTGTCCGCCCACACCTCCCACGCCTCACCCTTTTGTCAGTCCCTACATTGGCTTCCTGTAAGATATAGGGCTCAATTTAAAATTCTGGTTCTTGCTTTCAAATCTCCCACCGGACCTCACCCCCCCACATCATTACAAAAGATTAACACTGACCTAGACCCCATCCCCCATCCTAATAAGTTACTCCTGTAAACTTACCAGTTGATGCCCTATGAGTATGCATGTCACCCACCTTCACACACCTTGTCCTGGATGGTGCAGGACATTGTACTTAAACTATCACTTGCCTAAGGATTACAAACGCTACAGAACAAGTAAGAACATTGACAATGTATGTGATACAACAATGCAAGTCTACTTCTTGCTGTCAATTATTGTGATCTGTTACTCTGTAAACTACACAATTGCTAAAAAGGAAAAATGTTAAGTGAACCTCTGTTTTTAATCTTTCAAGACTCTTTACTTTCAGGAATTGTACCGGAGGATTGGAGGCAGGTTCCTATATTCAAAAAGGGTTCAAATCTTTGCTTAGAAATTATAGATATGTGAGCTTCACTTCTATGGCTGGGTTATTAAAGGACCACTATAGGCACCCAGACCACTTCAGCTCAATTAAGTGGTCTGGGTGCCAGGTCCATCTAGTTTTAACCCTGCCTGCTGTAAACATAGCATTCAGAGAAACTGCTATGTTTACATTAGGGTTAATCCAGCCTCTAGTGGCTGTCTCATTGACAGCCGTTAGAGGCACTTCCGTGCTTCTCACTGTGAGTTTCACAGTGAGAAGATGCCAGGGCACTATAGTGCCAGGAAAACGAGTTTGTTTTCCTGGCATTATAGTGGTCCTTTAAGGGATTATATTCAGGAATCCATTGGAAAGAACATTGTTATTAGTAATGATAAGTATGGTTTTATGAAACATAGGTCATGTAAAACTAACCTAATTGCATTATTCGCAGAAGTAGGTAGAACTATAGATAAGGGTGTTGCAGCGGATGTGATCTACTTGGATTTTCATCTTGATAATGTTCATCACAGTAGGTTAGTGTTTAAACTAAAAGAAATTGGTCAGGATAAAAATTCTTGTTCTTGGGTAGAATATTTGCTTAAAGACAGAGTACAGAGAGTTATCAATGAGTGCACATTTTCAATCTGGAAAAAATGGTAAGTGGTGTCCCTTGGGGTTCTGTGACGCTTCTATTTAACATTTATAAATGATCTTGAAATAGGCATTGAGAGTCATGTTTTAATGTTTGAATATGATGCAAAACTCTGTAAAATAATACAATGTGAGCAGGAGAATGCCTTGTTGCAGAGGGATTTGGGGGACTGGGCACTCAAATGGCAGATGAAAAATGCAAAGTCATGCACTTCAAGGTAAAGAATGCACAAGCAACTTACACCCTAAATGGTGAATTAGGCAAAGTACAGAATATTTGATAGAGTCCTAACCTAATTAATTATTTCAGATGGCTTAAAGGTAGGCAGACAATGTAATAGAGCAGCAGGAAATTCTAGCAGAATGCTAGGTTGTATAGGGAGAGGTATTAGCAGTAGAAAGAGGGAAGTGCTCATGCCATTGTACAGTACACTGGTGAGACCTCACTTGGAGTATTGTACACAGTACTGGAGACCGTATCTTCAGAAGGATATTGATACCTTAGAGAGGGTTCAGAGAAGGGCTATTAAACTGGTTCATGGATTGCAAGATAAAACTTACAAGGAAAGGTTAAAGGATCTTAACATGTATAGCTTGGAGGAAAGACAAGACAGGGGGGATATGATAGAAACATTTAAATATATAAAGGGAATCAACAAGAAGAAAAACTACCACAACTAGAGGACATAATCTTAAATTAGAGGGGCAAAGGTTTAAAAATATCAGGAATTATTACTTTACTGAGAGGGTAGTGGTTGCATGGAATAGCCTTCCATCTGAAGTGGTAGAGGTTAACACTGTGAAGGAGTTTAAGCATGCGTGGGATAGGCATAAGGCTATCCTAACTATAAGATAAGACTAGGGACTAATGAAAGTATTTAGAAAATTGGGCATACTAGATGGGCTGAATGGTTCTTATCTGCCATCACATTCTATGTTTCTATAACAACACACAAGAAGGATTTGGGAAATGTTATCGACAACAAACTAGGCAACAATGTGCAATGTCAATCGGCAGTTGCTAAGGCCAGTAAGGTATTGCCATGCATAAATAGGGGCATTAATTCTTGGGATGATTATAAACATCACTGGTAAGACCACAGCTTAAATATGCTGTGCAACATTAGGCACCTGTTAAAAAAAAAACGATGTTGTGGCACTAGAAAGAGTGCAGAGGCTGGTTACAAAATGAATTGAAGGAATGGAGCATTTTAGTTATGAAGAAAGGTTAACACATATAAATCTCTTTAGTTTAGAAAACTTGCACCTCAGAGGTGATATGATAGCATTATACAATATATATTTGAGGCCAATACAAATCATTGTCTGAAAATCTATTTATAAAGAAGACTATGCATAGGACATGAGGTCACGCCTTTAGACAGGAAGAAAGGAGATTTAGTCTAAGGCAAAATAAAGTGTTTTTTATAATATGAACTTTAGGGATGTGGAATTATCTGCCTGAAGAGATGGTTTTTCATAGTCTATACAAATGTTTAAACAGAAACATAATATTCGGGGATATCATTTCTAATTAGTGGTTTAATAGCTTCTTGATCCAAGGAGATATCTGACTGTCATTCTGGGGTCAAAAATACATTTTTTCCTAGTTTGTTCCAAAATTGGAAATGTTACAAACTGTTTTTTTGCCTTCTTTTGGATCAACAGCAAAAACTGATTTGAGAAAGGCTGAACTCTTTTCAGCTATGTAACTACATAACTATGTAAAATTGTCTGTCAGCTATACTTTCAGTCTGGCTATTCTTGCCTTTATTTGAAATTAACTCTAAATTCCATTTGGATTTTCACTTTAGTAAATAACCATCTAAAACTAAAACTGAAAACCTTAAGGCAACGTATCAAACTGAAAGCATAGGCGACTAGAATCATTTTTCTAGTTTGGCTATTTTGGCCTTGAATTTGAGATTCGTCCTTAATTTATTTTTAATTACCAACAATTTTCAGTTTAGTGAATAACCCTGTTGATATTTTTTTATTTTATTTCTTTGTTCTCAGTCTACACTTTTATTCTTCAAAAACATTCAGGATTATACATTGACAGTACCAATAAACATATGCAGAGCTATTATTAGTTTTGATTGAAAAGGACATGCAGTTATGCTGTCATTAATTATTTTCTTATTATTGACCACCTGAAAAATGTGTTTAGCAGACACTATGGCAGCAATTTATATGCAATGAAAAAGTGAATATACTGGGTTATTCAAATTCAATAATGCAAAAAGAATCTGGTATTCAAAATGTATTTTTAAGCCAAAATAGCTGAACTGAAAATATAAGAGATTTGGAAATTTTTGACCTAAATGTAGAATTTTACAAGAATGCATTTATAGCTGAACCCTGATGGAGAAGCTCCTAACAATAGCATAATTTAACCAGTCCACCACCAGGGAAAGGGATGATTTGCAAATTGCACATTTACAGAGTAATTTACTAAACACTGGATTTGATCCTGATGAAAATCACTGAATTTAGGCTGGAAAGACAATTCTCATATCTATTAAAGCTATTCTGGTCATAATTCTGTCAGCCTGACCAAATTTGAACCAATCGACTGGATACATTTTTTGTCCGGTTAAAACTCACTGTTTTCCACATCTGAACCGTATACAAAGTATAGGATTTGGAATATGTACAAAGCACTGGTTTTACTATGACTACAGACTGAATACATCCGCAAGGATGCACATTCACAAACTATAGTTCACTTGCATTTTGCAAGTGAACAATAATTTGAAGTAATATTTTCTCCCCGGCAGCCAGTGGTTAAACAGTTCAAAAGCCACAGCGATGTAAGGTTCAACCATGTGCTGGCTGTCCAGTACTTCCTGTGGTGGTCATTATGATCGTATTACTATAAGCAAGTTTCAAATTTCCCAATGCCCCCAACTGCTAAGCTGTGGGTGGGGACATATCAACTAAGGAGTGAGCATCCTGCTGCCATTAACTAAGAGGTCCCACCCCATGATAATGGGGTCTGCAAAGAAAATGGAGAAGACCTGGTGTGAACAATGTCTCGATTTTGCATTCCGAATGGAACCATACAGCACCGTATGGTTTTGCCCTTCGGTACAGGGCCACTTGGATTTTAATGAAATATTCTGTTACACTCACCACCATTAATCCTAATTAAAATACTTATATGGCCCCTTAATGCGTGTCATTAGAGTAATAACATATTCCGCAGTGATTACTTCAGTCATGCAGACTTTAGCTGTTGAGCTAGCCACTCGGTGACATGCCAGGTACATGATCACACACCTGCAAAGCAGATCTGTGTGTACATAACAGAGTAATTTAGAAGTCACATGAAAATGGAAATGCTGTATCAGAGCGCATTAGAAAGCAAGATTGAAGTGAACTAACAAAGACAATGCTAACTTGAGTTTTAAAAGATTCAATCAGAGTTTTCCAACCTCTTTCCAGTTGTGTACTAACACTAACAATTTTTATAATTAATAACCCTAAGTATATATATGTATCTCTCACAGAAAGTGGTAACTTTTAAAATTAAACTGAAATTTGTTTCTATAATTCTTTGCATATGTGCATTGTTTGGAAATCCATACATTTAATTATTGCTGAAAATTCTGTGTACTCTTTTAAAGGGAATCTTCCTCACACATTTTGAGTTATGTACCTTTAAATATATATTGGTATCATGGAATTTAATAACATAAGTATATATTATTCCAAACAATATATGAGATCTAGAACCCATACAGTTCTAAACCTAATTTGACATCTATTGATAGGCCAAACCCTGACAGTTATAGATTGAAGATATCACTCTCAGTAACTGCCCTGTATTATTTAAGATTTAAGGTATCGCAACAAAAGTGTTATGAAGAGAGTAAAGAAATGTGTAATCCTTAGGACATACAGCGTTATTTATTAAAGTCTGAATGGCACCATACCAAATGTGGCAAAACCATCCGGCTGCATACGGGACCATTGACACTGCAAAATCCAGAAATAGTTAACAGTATTTAACAGTACCCCGATTTTGCATGTCAGGCACTGAATCCACCAAACAGCGCTAGTCTGGACCTGAATGCTTCAAATCTGGGCCTGGATTTAAAAAATATCCTTTGCCCACTGGCAGAAATAGCAATCCACCACATTAAATAGTGAAATAACCATATGAGTAAGTGGGGGTATATCTCCTAGATATTTAAAATAAATATAATCTGCATAAATATATATTGAGTGTCATTTTTTTTTTGAGATCGTGATTATGGTTTTTTTTCTTTGTTTTTTTTTTGTTCTTTTTTTTTTTTCAAAGCTGAATATATGAAGATTTACTTTGTATAGGATTCAGATGTAAAAGCACCTCTTTTAATCTGGACATTAAATGCATTTGGGCATTTGTTGTAAATTTGCTTGATGTGACCGAATTCTGACCAGAACTGGCTTTGTTAAAACAAAATCCAGTTTTTTTTTAGTGAATAACATAATAATATTTAGTGTAGAGACAATTAATAGTGGTAAAATGGAAACAAATTCCAGATTAATTATTTATAAAATAAATTTTCTTATTTTCAGTCTTAAAGAGGTACTTCTCTGGAAATTGCATAATTGAAGAGAGTATAAAAAAATCACTTTATAAGTAAACATAGTATTCAAAATTCTAGGAAGTGATAGATCCCTTTTAAAGTTGATACAAGTCGTAATGTATCTATCTAACCTTAAAGGAACACTCCAAACAGTTGTTTCTGTTAGCTCTCCTGAGCTGTGCCTTGCAGTGATAGCTCCAAGCCAACACGCTAAGCCCTGCACTGCAAGGTTTGGCTCAGACAGAGAACTTCTGACTCTTTGTATAAAATAGTTGTGGTGGGGAGCAAACCTTTGCGAACAAGTTAAAGGAACACTATAGTCACCTAAATTACTTTAGCTAAATAAAGCAGTTTTAGTGTATAGATCATTCCCCTGCAATTTCACTGCTCAATTCACTGTCATTTAGGAGTTAAATCACTGCTCAATTCACTGTCATTTAGGAGTTAAATCACTTTGTTTCTGTTTATGCAGCCCTAGCCACACCTCCCCTGGCTATGATTGACAGAGCCTGCATGAAAAAAAAAACTGGTTTCATTTTCAAACAGATGTAATTTACCTGAAATAATTGTATCTCAATCTCTAAATTGTACTTTAATCACATACAGGAGGCTCTTGCAGGGTCTAGCAGGCTATTAACATAGCAGGGGATAAGAAAATCTTAATTAAACAGAACTTGCAATAAAGAAAGCCTAAATAGGGCTCTCTTTACAGGAAGTGTTTATGGAAGGCAGTGCAAGTCACATGCAGGGAGGTGTGACTAGGGTTCATAAACAAAGGGATTTAAGGATTGAGCAGTGAGGCTGCAGGGGCATGTTCTATACACCAAAACTGCTTCATTAAGCTAACGTTGACCAGGTGACTATAGTGTCCCTTTAAGGTAACAAGTTAAATTGACCTAAAAACAGTCTACATACAAAGGGGTGGCACCA